TCATTTGGAAAGAATTTGATAGGTATTCAATCAAAACTCATGGATAGAAAAGTATAAGATTTTTCGACTCATAGAATTTGATAGAATTTGTATCCAAACTCTTGATAGTAAAATATTGAATTTTAGTATATTATTAACTTTGATAGATAATACATCAAAACTTATGATAGGAATGGATTTAATTTTCTACTTTGGATAGAAGTGGATTGGATTTTCAATATTTGATTAAATTGGATTCGAATTTCAAGGATTGAAGGAAGAAAATTATATCAAATCCTATCCATTTTAATAATTTTTTTAAACAGGGTGCATAAGCATAAATTTTGTTTCAATATATCAGAAATATTAAATACATTAAAGAATTTAGAATAACTTTTACAATTTTTTAGGAGTGGTCCACTCAAGGTTACACTTTTTTCATTCCTTAAAAATTAGCTTTTTTTAAAAGTCAATTGTTTTTTCCAATAAAAAAAAATCAAAGCTATTATGGTATAAACACTTATCTAGGGATTTAAACTAAAGCTTGAAATAGAAACCTCCGATTAATTTGCTTTCATAAAGAATTTTTTAGAAAAAAAGCGTAGGCGGTCCACTCAAGGTGACATTACTCTATATATGTTTTTTTCGAAAAAAGAATCAGCTACGATTTTCGGAAATGAAAATTTGGAATCTTTGGACGATTGCAGATAACACTGCGTTAGCACAATTTTGACTCATTTTAGGTAAACCTAAAAGTGCTTGAAGACCACCGTGAACTGTTGTATTACTTGTTTAATTATTCTCATATGTACAAAATAATCAGTAATAAGCACTATTTAAAATTATTAATCTCCATAAAAATGAAATTCTAACAATTATATATAAGAAATATTTGAATTGTGAGAATAAAATTTTTAAATTATCCCGCCATTCATTTTTACCAACCATTAAGATTACTTGTACCTTAAGAGAAAGATTTTTTTTCCTCTACACAAATGTTAATAAGGCTGAAGTCCCATGGCAGCGTTTTGCGTTGCGTTTTGTAACTAGGCACAGTGGGACGATATCACCTAAACGTGGCCAAAATGGAAAATTTTTTTTTTTATTTTCTACTTTAAATGGTGTGATTTGCTGCCGTGATTATCCAAACTTTAATACCGAGAAGGACTATTTTATGTAAGGTTTGATTTAGCTAGTAGTTTATCGCAAAGTTAGCATTTGTTCCGCGTCCACACGACGCGTTGCATTAGTTGTGATATTAAGAACTTTAAAAGTGTAGTGAAACAAAGAAAATTGGTCTTTTTAAATCGCTCTCAAAATGGAAAATCTTCCTGAAGGTATAGATAAACATTTTATATAATGTTAATATTAATCCACGTTTACGTAAGTGCAAATAAATATACGTATATGAGGCATTATTCCTGAACTGCCCCAAAAATAAAAAAAAGTTCTTTGATTTCCTTTATACTTTGGAAATATGTTACCCTAGTAGGTACAAGTTACTACACCAATTTACAGGTCCAACCCCCCACCCCTATCAAAAGGGTGGGGGGTTGAAATTTCAGCTTAAACTCGAACATGCGTTTTTTAAACATTTGTAGTTTCTACTTAAATTATTCGATTAAAAAAAGTAAGTAGTGTTTTGGAAAGGTTTTTTTGTGTACTTTTAAAAAATTTTATTTATTTAATAAAAAAAAAATTATGAAAAAATTTTTAAAAATAAATAGTTTTTTGCAATTTTGTGCAAGTTTGGCAGTTTTTATTTTCTTTTTAATAATCTCAAATGAAAGCTTGGGATTTCCCCTAAAAGAAGATATAAGTCTGAAAATGGGCCGAAAAAGTTTGCCAAAGATTTAGTGTAATTGGCGATTCAAACAGCTAAACTAGCGCCTCCGGTGGCCGAGTTTAAACTAATATATACACGACTCCCTGCATGGTGTTCAATGTAAATATCAACGTTTTTATAGTTTTTCAGTTTTATTTTCACTATTAAATCAAGTTTTTTTTTAATTGTTCTACTTGTTTAAATATTTATTAAATATATTATAATAATTTTGAAAGAGCATCGTTACTCGCGGACAGAAAGAAAAGAAAAAATGGGAACGAAACAAATGTTATTCGCTCTGAATTGAAAAAAAACAGAAAATCTTTATCAGCTTCCAAAAAATGTTGTAAGACGTAAACAGTAGGCTATTGCATTTAAAACAGGAAAAAAATTAACCGACAAAATGAAAGTTTGCAGTACAAATTTTAAATCTAAAGATTACATATCAACTAGAAAGAACATTTTTTGGTTATGTTTTTATATGTTTGACAAAAATTCTAATTTTATATTACTTCTAATTATATATTATTAATTTAATCTCTATAGACATTAAATTAATAATATAAAATTAGAATTTTAGATTATTAGAAATATAATATTATTAATATTAGAATTATTTAATTATTAGAATTAGAGCGGAACATAATAATTGTTTCGATCCCGTTTTTTCTTTTCTTCTGTTCATGAGTAACGATGCTCTTATCCATATTTATTATAATTTATTTAATAAATATTTAAATAAGGTTAACAATTTAGAAAAAAAATTGATTTAATATAATGAAAATAAAACTGAAAAACTTTAAAAATGTTGATATTTACATTGAACACCATGCAGGGAGTCGTGTATATATTAGTTTAAACTCGGCCACCAGATGCGCTAGTTTAGCTGTTTGAATCGCCAATAAGTAAAATTTGTCCGTCTGCTCGCGCACTCCAGCGCGATGAGCAGTGAAATTTTTTTACAATTTACTATTGAAAATTGTCTAGAAACTACAAATTTTATCGGATAATGATGTTCTTGGTCTAAAATTACTTAGAGATCCATCAGAGTCGATTTTTGAATTTTTATTTGTTTATTTTTTTCCTGTTACTCAAAAAGTTGACAAATTACAATATTTTTAGAAAAAATCATGTTTATTTTTTTATTTTTCCATTGCACATGATCGAAATCAATTTAAATTAGTCTAGTATCACCACCAGACAATTAATAATGCATAATACAATTTATTTAAATTGTTGCAAACAATGTTAATTAACAAAAAAAAAATAAAAAAATAAAAATAAAAAAAAAAATAAAAAAAATAAAAAAATAAAATAAAAAAAAATAAAAATAAAATAAAAAAAATAAAAAATAAAATAAAAAAATAATTTTTTACTAAATTAGACTTAAATTTAAACTTATTAAATTAAAAATTAATTTAATTAATTTTAATTTAATATAAAATAATTAATTATTAATTATTAATTAATTATTATTATTAATTAATTTATATTTAATTTAATTTAATTTTTTTTTAATTAATTTTTATTTTTTAATTAAATTTTTTTTTTATTTTATTTTTTTTTAAATAAAAAAAATAAATAAAAAAATAATTTTTTACTAAATTAGACTTAAATTTAAACTTGTCTGCAAAAAAGCCAATTTTTTTTATGAAGAAGGTCCGAAGTAATCTATTTGTTAATTAACATTATTTGAAACAATTTAAATAAATTGTATTATTCATTATTAATTGTCTGGTGGTGATACTAGACAAATTTAAATTGATTTCGATCATGTGCAATAGAAAAATAAAAAAATAAACATGATTTTTTCTAAAAATATTGTAATTTGTCAACTTTTTGAGTAACAGGAAAAAAATAAACAAATAAAAATTCAAAAATCGACTCTGATGGATCTCAGTAGATAAACAAAGTGAGTTCCACGCGTTAGTTCTCAAGGCTGCCGCTAGAGGCGCCACTGGCGCTGCAGTCGGTGAATGGCGCGCGTTTTTGAAATTAGTTCGCGAGGCCGCCACTAGCGCTGCAGTCGGTTATGGCGCGTATATTTGAAATTGTTAAATTTCTACCTAACCCTAATTTCTAACCTAACCCTTTTTACTAGCGCAATTTGCTATGTGTGAATCCGTGAGTTTGGGTATAAATATCTGGAATTCAATGGAGTTAGCATTCGTAGCAGCGTCTTCGAGTCAACCGGATCAACCAGCAGAAGCAGAGAGGGTCAACCAGCAGAAGCAGAGAGGATCAACCAGCAGAAGCAGAGAGGATCAACCAGCAGAAGAATATTATATGCAAAGTTGGAGAGAAGGAGAGAGAGAGAGAGAGTCTCAGCATAGGAGAGAGGAGAGGAGAGAGCGAGAGAGAGTCCCAGCGTAGGAGAGAGGAGTGAAGAGCACCGTCAGAAGGAGTTGCCGTGAGAGAGACTGAGAGGGAGATAGAGTCTCAGCGCAGCAGAAAGAGAAAGGCTCCACCGCTACAAGTCGGCCACGGAGTAATAATAAGGAGACTGCTCTCCAGCGTATCCCCTAGTCAAACTGGTGCCAGATTTCTGCCTTGGTTCACTGAGTAGTAATGACTTTTAAAAAATAACGCGCATGTGCAGTTTGCAACTATCTTCGTCACTCTTGAAAGAACGATGAGAGAGATCATTATTTTGACGTGCGAGTTGGAAAGTGTGGTTATGTTTTACTGTTGACAATATATATTATACTATTAAATAATATTAATAAATTGTAATATAGGAAATGTGTGAGTAGATATTAATTATATTAGCATTATAGCGATTATAGCATTATATTATATTGTATTCATTCACTTTATCATACAAAGAAAAGAATTACTCCGGTTCGACAAAAATAATCTTTTTATTAATATCTACTCACACCTATATTACAATTTATTAATATTATAATATATTGTACTTACTCTTCTCTTTGCAGTTTGTTAATTAATATTTTTTCTTATTTAAATGTTGATTTTCCCGTATAGTTGCTGTTGTCAACAATAAAACATAACCACACTTTCCAACTCGCACGTCAAAATAATGATCTCTCTCATCGTTCTTTCAAGAGTGACGAAGATAGTTGCAAACTGCGCATGCGCTTTATTTTTGAGAAGTCTTTACTACTCAGTGAACCAAGGCAGACATTTGGCACGGTATCTCACTGGTAGTACAGTCTCCTTATTATTACTCCGTGAAGTCGGCACTAGCTGTGGCGTGTAGAAGGGAGACTCCGTTGAATGCTTAGGTGATGCGCAGCAGTAGGCAGCATCGTTGTAATTTTAGGTGGCAGCACCAGTCAATTTAGCATCTTTTAAATACAATTTTCAAAGTAAGATGTTATATGAAAATTTTTTAAGACTTTATAGTTTGAATTATATCTTACACAATATATTTAAACTATAAAATAAATTTTGAAAAACTGAATATTAACAAAAAAAATTTTTTAATTCTAGAATGGCTGGTAAACGACAGGGAAAAACAAACTTGAAGCCTGAGGTTGCAGAAGAGTTGAGAAAAACCATTTCATCGCTTCTTCAGGAGATTGAAAGTATTCTTCATGCTGCAGAAGATGGCTTTAATTTGGTGAACTCAACTAAAACTGAAATCGATTGGACTCAAAACATAGCAGGATGGATGACAACTTGCGGAAAATATATTGCAAATTTAAGGGAAATATTAAACGGACCTAATTCTTCAGCAGGAAGCCAAAAATGTATTAACCTAATTCAGCAATTTATTTGTCTGAATACAAAGTTTGAATTTTATTTGAAACAAGGATTTGGAATGGGAGAAAATTCAAAAAAATCAGAATCTCCAGCGGTAGAAATGGATAACATTACAGATCGTGTTCGTTGGAGCAATTGCAAGAGTGCTTTCAAATGTCGTCTTCAAACTAGTTTCATTATTAACTTGGTACACATAGATGTAAAGTCAACGTAAAAAATGAACAAATTTTCCCAACGACAGTTTTAAATGATTGCCCTTCTAGAAATAATCGATTGGTCACAATATAAAACGATTCATTTTAAAATTTTAGTCAATTGTTTTTAATCGATTATATTTTTCATGAATCGTTTTTAATTGTGGAAATAAGTTAAACTTTTTTTGAATTGTTTTTAATTGTTGGCGCAAGCGCACAGACTTTAAATTGGATCTTGGAACATTTTGTTATTATAATGTTAAGTATAATAAAAGATTATTAATAAATTTAGTAATAATAGTTTATTTAAAAAATATAATAATAAATAATATAAAAAATGATTAATAAAATGTTTTTTGTCGAATTTTAATTAAATAATATTACATTCAATATCATAATACATCTTACATAAGATATAGTTTATTAGAAACTATTATTGATTTCTTTTAATAATCACCATTTCTAAATTATACATATGATTCGCTTGAAAATTAGCAAAGAGTTTCAAAGATATTAACATGTTTAAGTTTTAGGTAATTTCAATTTAATTTTAGCACAATTTAAATAAGTATAAATTAAGTTAAATTTAATTTTCTTAATTTATATTTAAAAAGTGTAATAGCTTTTGTCGAGAAATTGAAGAATGCACATACGAAAATATAAATCGGTGCAGTTATGTATTCGCCGTTGTTTACTCTACTGTATTTCGATACTCTGAGGTAATTGACAGACATAACTATTTTCATCACATTCGATGAATATTAATTTTTCAGTAACATCAGTTATAGATATTAGTATTTCTGTATTACCTTTTTCTAGAACTCTAAACAAATGTCTCACTAATTCGTCGTCAATAACAGTTAAGTTAATTACTGACAAGAAGCAAGAGTCGTTTGTTCTCACAATATCTTGGACTTGAACAACATCACCGGAGATTAATTTGAAAACTGTATCATTCCTTTTTTCAGAAAGAGTATTTTTTACGCTTTTATAAACACAACCATTATAAATGCATTTTAAAAAAGATTCTCCTTCAATTATTTCATTGTTAGCAGGATTTGTAATTCGAACATGTGAACTCTTTCCACAGAATGTTACACCATAGGTACTTCCAGAAACATACGTCGATAGCAAAGCAGGAGAAAATATTCTTTGACAATACAATCTGGCAGTCTCAGAATGAAAAATGTTTTTGGATGCTTCAATCTTAAATTGTAGGATGTCCAATGATTTTGAGGCCATTTGCTGCTCTGGTTTTTTAGGACCTAGTGCAAACTGCTTCAGCACATGCAGGTGACTCTCAAAGCAGAATGCCGAAGTTGCCCACAGTGGGCCACAACGTCGAACACATTCAACTATGTGGAGTAGAAGATGTACGTTAAGGGGTTACGCCACCCTGAAATATTCAAAAAAATTTATTTTTTTTTTTTTGCTTAATTTCAAAGTTTATATTCTAACGAATATTTTGAGATGTCGCCGAAGACAATGTCTCACTAATTACAAAAGTTATGGTCATTAGAAGTCAGCGCGGTGGGGACGCGCCGAGAGCTGCTGGAAGCAGCGACTTTCTATTTTCGAATGGTCTAGGGGGCCCTTTCATGATTTAGGAAGGGTCCTTTTCATTGTATCCCTTCCATTCTTAAATAAAAAAAATTATGGCCCAGGAATTGCTGATTAAATAGTAAATTGAAAAATTTTCAAGTTATAATACACTAAAGTTCATTTTTTTCTTCTTTTGCGTTTTTCTCGAAACCACAATTTTCGAGACGGTGTACACGATAACTCAAAAACTATTCAATCGATTGACTTTAAAATTAATATACATCTTCCTAAATAGATTTTCCACAGAGTGACGTGGGATTTTTTTGATTGAATAATTTGAAAATTTTTTATCCAATTTTTTATACGGTAATTTTAGCCAAAAAAAAAATGTCAATTTTTGAAGTGCTTCCATTTGCGTAAAAAATTTTTTTTTTTAAAATGGCTTCGTCACTCTGTTCAAAATTTATCACTTTTTAAGAAAAATATTGTTTTACTTGTTTCTGACAAAAATTGAACTGCCAATCATGTACACCATCAAGGAGTGCTCCGGAAAAATTGATCCACGCCAATAGTTATATCTCCGCCATTTTTAATTAAAAACAATTTTTTTTTAAATATTTATAAAGCTCAATATATGTACTAAAGCATCAATAAATGTAAAGAAGTCCTACCTGAAACAGTTTTATCAAAAAAATTCCTAAAAAACCATCCGATTTTCATGCGTTCAGGGTGGCGTAACCCCTTAAAAGTCATACTTATTTGACCATATAAAATCTCGAAATCTCCGACAAATTGTATCATATCCAATTCACATTGAAGTAACTCTTCCACTGTGATTTTCGTTTTCAATAAAGTAAAAATGGTATTGACTAATAGTGAGAAGTGCTCGAGGCAGTGGGGAGGTAAATATTTTCTCAAGCAGGGCACTCCATAGAACAATAGCCACGATTTCCACACAGATGCTTTCCACTTTGACTTGAACGAAAATCCTCGCGCAACTCGATGTGTTTCGAAAACCATTGTAATGGTACTAATTAATCCGTTAATGTCTGCAACATCTTTTTGAGATAAGAAACCATTTGCAACCCATATTTCCCATAGTTGCTTAACGGATCCAATAAGAACAGCATGTAAATATTCGAATGAAAAGCTCCAAACCATATCAACGCGTTGATTGCAATTTATGAAACTCGAAGGACCTTTAACTCCATTGACGAAAGTACGACGATCATTCCTTATGTTCCTACTGTTTTGTCTATGTCTGACATTTTGTTGGCGATCTTTAACAGCATCAACATCCTGTTCATGAGATTCATGCGATCTGAGGATAAAATCGGGATCAAAGATATATTTAACGAGATTAATATACAGTCCAAGTTGATAACAGTAACTACATGCGCAATACGAATTATATTGACATCGATTCTGCAATAAGGGCCTAGCAACTGAGTCAGCAACAATAAACAAAAGATTTATGAAGAAATTAATGCGACGATTACCTACTATTAAATCAACACCTTGCGTATTCAAAATTTCAATTAAATTTAAAAATTCTTCTGAAAAGGCATTTATTAAATCAGGGCTTGGTTCCTTATCAATCATCATAAGTCCTCCTACCATAATGTATTTAAATCTCAAATTGATTGGTAATTCGTTCATAGATACCAAAATAGCCCAAAAACTTTCATTACCACTTCTTTTCATGGTTGCCCCATCAAAAAATGCATTTAGCGTCAAAACGTTTCGCGAATTTGTAGGATTGTTTAATTTATACAAAGTTCCGTCTTGAACGTCTGTTATACTTCCATCAATATCGTTAACAGGGTTTTGCCTTCTATGTCTGTCGATTAAAAAAGTTTTTACATCATTAAGTTTTAACAATTGTTCAATTTGGTATTTTAAATCTACCATCAACATGTATTTTCCTTTTTTAGTCGATAAATTATATTGCGATCCACATTTATCGCGTAATCCTTCAGGGATTGCTTGTGATTTTTTATTCTGTTTTGAGATCAGTACTTTTTTACAAGCTGGACAATAGAAGGAAAATGTTATTGATTTTTCCGGAGGTTCAAACATGCGAGACATTTTATGATTTGACAGATTTAGACTGTCAAAATCAGGACCTGCACATAACTTTAATAAATTAGTTAACTCTAACCGTGCTTGATATGACAGTCCAAATCGTAAACTAAACCCTCTTGTCATTGCTACTACATCTCTGACTGTTAAGTTAGATTGTGAGAACATAATTCTATTTTCCCACGGATATATATTAATTGGATCTTCATTACCCTCAACATTGTCAAAAAATTCGGGATCTGATTCTTCACTATCTAAATCTTCACTTTGTGTGTTTGATTCTGAGGCGGAATGCTCATTCAACACGGTGGTCTTCAAGCACTTTTAGGTTTACCTAAAATGAGTCAAAATTGTGCTAACGCAGTTTTATCTGTAATCGTCCCAAGATTCCAAATTTTCATTTCCGAAAATCGTAGCTGATTCTTTTTTCGAAAAAAAACATATATATGGGCAATTCCACGTGAGATTTAAGTCCACCTCTTAAAATCGGCCAAAAAATATTTCTTTTTCTATTCTGTATCGAAACAAATTAGATTCGTATTTTTTTATTTTTGTTTAATTGTACAAATTTTCGAGTTATAAATTTTCGAAATTTTTGACTTGTAATTGAAGACCTATATTCAGTAGCTTATAATTCCGAAAATATTGAGTTTAGGAAAAAGTTGTCAAAGAATGAAAGTTTTAGTTTTCTTTCGAGTTTTAAAAAATGTAAACAAAAATTTTTTTATAAACAAATTAATTGTTTTTAACTTTGGGCCGGATTTAAAAAATTTTTTTTTAAATTTATTTATACCTTATAATATAGAGGAAGTTTCCAAAAAGTACCGAAATGGGCCTGATGTGTTAAATGAGTTTTAAAACATTTTCAAAAATCACTTGCAAGCATCACATGGGATATTTTTACAATCAATTAACTTTTTAAAACTGTCTGCAGCGTATAAATTTTAATCTATTTGTGTTCTTTGTTTTAAGTTAAAGGGTCTACGCTGTAGCAGTTTTAAAAAGTTAATTGTAAAAAAATCCCACTGTCGACTAAAATCTCACGTGGAATTTCCCATAGGGATAATGTCACCTTGAGTGGACCGCCGGAGCTTTTAAGTTATCTGACAGCGAAAACGTGAAATAAATAGTGCGAATAGCAGCACCGCACCTAGAAACCGTAAGAAATTAAGTTCCGCGATAATCATATACGTTACCGTTTGATGTAACGCATTTTTGAGAACACAAACCAAAAAAGAAGTCGCTCTTTCAATGAGTAAAGTGATTTAGAAGTGTAAAAGTAGTGTAAAATTTAAGTTTTAAAAGGTAACTTATTTTTTTCCTACTACTATGGACATTGAAATTGATTGTCTTAGTTTAATTTAGTGATAATTTTGACTCAAAAAAAATTGTGGTGGCTGCTATAAAAAGTTGTTTGTCACCATGAGTGGACCACAGTTTATAACCATGAGTGGACTGCCTGCTTTTTCCATTTTTAATGTCAGTTCAACATTTCTTTAGATATAAATTGACAATAAATTAGTTTGAAACTATGATTTATGTTCTTTATTAATTTTTTGTGATATTGATGTGATATGTGACAAAATTATTAAAAATGGTTTCACTTGTAAACATTGCGACACATACATGGTCTGAAGCTGCATAAGCATAAATTTTGTTTCAATATATCAGAAATATTAAATACATTAAAGAATTTAAAATAACTTTTACAATTTTTTAGGAGTGGTCAACTCAAGGTTACACTTTTTTCATTCCTTAAAAATTAGCTTTTTTTAAAAGTCAATTGTTTTTTCCAATAAAAAAAAATCAAAGCTATTATGGTATAAACACTTATCTAGGGATTTAAACTAAAGCTTGAAATAGAAACCTCCGATTAATTTGCTTTCATACAGAATTTTTTAGAAAAAAAGCTTCAGCGGTCCACTCAAGGTGACATTACTCTATATATGTTTTTTTCGAAAAAAGAATCAGCTACGATTTTCGGAAATGAAAATTTGGAATCTTGGGACGATTCCAGATAAAACTGCGTTAGCACAATTTTGACTCATTTTAGGTAAACCTAAAAGTGCTTGAAGACCACCGTGTCAATTCTTCGTCGAAATCTTGGTTAGTGTCCATCCGCATTTCGTCGTCTCTAGGCACATCATTAATAAGTGAATTTTCACCAATAGACATTTCATTAGAGCTTAATGAAGAAACTGTTTCAACATCAGATTCATGTTGGTCATCACTGGATTCGTGTAGTTGGTGAACTAAAAAATGTTAATGGTATATAGACTAATTTTTTATTTTATTTTTAAAGAAATTGTATTCTAAAATTTAATATAATAAAAGAGCATTAAAAACTTTTGTGATAATAATAACAATTACCTATTCTGTTATCATCAGATGGAGTAGATTGTGTATTTCTTTGTAAAGCTCGTTGTCTCCAAATTGCAGCAGTTTGAGAAGAAACCATACTTGGTTTATAATCTGGTCTTATAAACTTTCGGTAGATTTTTCTTTTCTCATTTTTATTATCTTCTTCCTCCATCTTTTATTTTTACATGCTGTAAACATATATTTAAATCAATTTTATATCTCCAGAAAATAATACGCAATATAATATATAAAATGGTGTATAATTTTAAAGAAATATTTAAAAATACAATTATTGCTTTGCAAAAAAATAATTAATTTATTAATTATTATTTTTACTAATTAATTTATTAATTATTATTTTTACTAATTAATTTATTAATTATTTTTTTTAATAATTAATTTATTACTACGGCAAAACAATATTTTATTTCCTTTTTCTAATTATTTGTAAGTGAACTTTTTATTGCTTTGACAACAATCACAGAGAAAAGTTATTATTTGAAAAAACTTAAAATTATAATATGTTATATAAATAGTACTTTTCATAGAAAAATGTTAATTAAATGACGTTATATTAAAACTTCGGATAAGAATAATATAAATACATTTATAATGTGCATCTTTTTAAAGGTTAAGTTTAAGATTCATGACAAAATACTTATTTATTTTATTTGTCTTAACTAATTTAAATATATACTTACCGTTTATTATTTACACAACTTCTTTTAATAATTCAAAAATATTTTTAATCATACTTTAGCTTAAAAATATCACTTTCGAATAGGATCAACAAATTTTTTGAATCAGAAATCAGAATACTCTGAACTTTATATAGGTTATGTATTAACAACCTGAAGCTGTCTTGCATTAAAATACAGTTACTTAACTTTTGTACAAGTAATTTGATTGGTCAATTCCAATAGTACCAATAGTGAATAACCAATAAATTTTTACTCTTAAAGCTCTTAAACATCTTAAACGGCTGGTTGCCAAAGTATACAAACTTTCAGGAGCGTCAGAACAGGCCTTATTTCCCGTATATGTGTGATGATTATTTTACAGGACGTGAAAAGTAAAAAAAATAAATTTACAACATTTAACAATTTTAATATTAATTTATAAATTTTTTAAATTTTAATTATTACTATAAAAAAGTTTTTAATAAAAAACTTTCAGAATAAATATTATTACAACAACAAATTTTGTGTGGAGTTTCGTCGTCCCTGCTATTATTTTTGAATATAGACATGCGCATTACTCCTCTCACTCTGTCTTTTATTAATATGTGCTACCGGCAATAGTGCACGTGCAACACCGGTGTGATTGAAGAAATTTTGAAGAAAATTCTGTTCATATTATGAGTGTGTTTAAAAAAGTTTTACAAGAAAAGTGTTATTTATCTCGTCTATTCATCAGTGATCTCAAGTTCTGGAAGTTTTTTTTTGTAAACTTTAAAATCTTAAAGTATATTTCAGCCAAGCAAGAGTCGATACAAACTACACAAAAAAACTTTTTCATGTTAGAAAATACGTAATAATGTAAAATAACTTTTGTTTTTTCGAAATTTATAATCGGACTCTATTCTTTCGTCACTTGACTTTTATAAGCATAAATGTAACTATATAATACGATTTTATCACGGCTTCCTGATATTTTTTTTAATACTGGGAAATTCAATACAGAAGACAGTTAATGATGTTTTTCTACGTACAATATTTAAGTGGGAGCAGAAGAGGTGTAAAAAGGTTTCTTACAGACGTCGATTTCAAAAATCCTCCTATGGTTGAAAAAGCTGAACAAGTAAATAAAAATAAAAAATACAAAGTTGTTGGTAACGAAAATAATTATGATGCCGCTGCCATATTATTCGCTGAAGGTAAAGTATAAAATATTTTTTATCTATACATTCAATTAACAAAATTGAAATAATTGCATAATCTTACTTTTTTATGTGTATAATGCGTAAAATCAAAAAAATTATGCAAAAATCTACTTGCTTTTAATAAGGTATTTATTTAAATTGCATAAAAATATAGAATTCTTAGTGTAAGTTTGATGAAAAATAAAAAATGGATATTCTTAAAAAATTCATTTAGTGCATTTGTATAGTAAAATAAATATAATAAATAACGTATATTGCTAAAAAATTTTAGGTGTATTTTGAACATTATTAATATACGTATATTATATTTTTCATTCAAAAAATGTGAGACAAAAATTCATTTGAAATTGTTTTAGTAAAAAAACTTTCTGCACAATAAAATTTGAAGATTTTCTTCAAAGTAATATATTCTATATTTTTAAATAATAGTTTAACGAAATTTTATTAAATAATTTAAATTTTTTATAATAATAACTAGAGAAATAAAGTCATATTGTATAAAAAAATTGTAAAATAATTGTTTTTTTAAAACAAAAAATAAAATTTATATATCTGGAGGATATAATTATATAAAATCTGTTTCAGACAACCTAGGAGTACTACAAAAAATGGTTTCGGACAGCAGACCTCGTATTAATACCAAATTTTTGGATTCGGCATCATCTTCATCAGATGCACCTTCAATTAAAGCCAAGACTAACGTTAGTACCACATGGCATCAAATCTCTATTTATTTAATCCTAATTTTAGTAAAGAAATTGAAATGTATTTTCTGATTTATTTATTGTTTTCTCTTACTTTACAGAAAAGTACTGAAAGTACTAGAGCTGCCGAAATTAAGAAGAAAATTAGTAATAAGCAGAACGAATTGCGTTCAAAACAAGTTGATATTTCTGCTTCTGCTTCAAATGAAAAAGCAACGAAGAAAATTCTTAGCAGTGACAAAAAATTAATAAAAGAATCCGGCGTTTTACCACAAAAATTGAATGCTTTAAATAGAATGTCACAAATATCACCCACAGAAAAAATTCATGATAAAGAAAAACAACTTCCAGAATTTGTTACCTCTAACAAAAATTCAAACATTCAAGATAAAGATGTTCAAGAAATCTCTGATTCCAATGAAGTATTGGAAAATTCATCATTTAAAAGTTTCGAATCTTCAGCTGAGCATTTGAGTGACGAGATTTTAGAAAAAAATAGAAACTCTTCTATTAATGAAGAATCTATGAAGTCAAACGCAAATGCAGATTGTAAAAGTGTAGCTTGCAATTTACGATTCATAAAATTAGAAGATACTGTTAACAATTTGACTAAACTTCTAGATCAGCAACTGAGAATAGTGGATCAGCAACGAATTGAAATCCAAACCTACATGAAAATATTAAAGATTTAAATGATAAATTACATCAGAAAAGCGAAGAATTTCAAGGTATGTCTTACAATAAACAAAAGTTATTTTTTATCCAAAGATAACAAACTGAAAATTTTTACCTTATAATTAAACTTATTTTTATCTACTCTAAAATTAATTGAAATCATATAATTAAAAATACATGAATATTAAATCTGAAAGGTCAAAAATGTGTTATATATTTTAAATCTTTACTTGCACATGCTCAAAAATATAAATTTCTATTTTAAATGTAACTGTAATTGACTTCAAAAAAATTTTATTTTAGTAACTCTGCTCAAGGACAACAATTCAGGTACCCTCCGTTCTTCATATCCTCCTTCTGGATTTTTGCGAGCGTCAGATGATCACGTAATTTTTCAAATAAATATATTATTTTTTCTTAAAAGTTATGTTTTCATAATAATTTTAATTTAAATAAAAATATTCTTATATTAAATGAATAAAATTTTTTTTGTTAGATTCATCTTGGTAAGGGAATTTGGTTGCCGAAAATAAAGTATAATGAAGCCTGCAACTCCAACTCACCATCTCTCTTCGTAAAAATGATTTGTGAGATGTTATTTACACCTGATGAACTTAAAGATTCTACAGTGACGGGCAAACCTAGTAATAGAAAAAAAAATCCTTTAAGAATACCAAAAAAATTAGATTCTACTAAAGTTTTAAGCATTAAAGGTATTTACTTTTCTTTTATATGTTTTGTTTCTTTTATAATAAAAAATAAGATTCTCTACAAAATTGAATACTAAAAATTGAATGGATGTTAAATATAAATTGTCTCGTGTGTAATATAATATTAAACGCAATTAGTTTTCATATCAAGAAAAAAATGTTTTTGTAGTTGTGTCAATAGTTTGCAATTTTAATGATTTCAGTAAATATTCTTTTATTATTTTAAATCAAATATTTTCAAACTTTAACTAATCTATAAAATAGTTTGCAATGTTTATGATTTTGTAGTGAATATTCTTTTATTATTTCAAAATAATTATCTTTTACTAATCAAAACTGAAAGAATTTTGGTAAGCCTACAGGCTTGACATTGGAGTCACTAAGCTCTCTGTCTCAGGGATCTCAGTTAGCCTTGAAAAGGCGAGAATTTACTCCTCAGGAGCTGCTGCTGGCCCTTCCGGAGTAGATTCTTGCCTTTTTAGGACAAACTGCGACTCTTGAAACGGAGACCTAGTTTCGACCATGAAAAGCCTGCAGTCTGTCTGAATTTTCTCAGTTTATAAAACAAACTGTCTACAGATTATTGTAACAAATATAATAAAAAGGTTTGTTTTAATCTTGGACATGAAAGTACTTTCTTAGTATTCTTATTAAACTATTGATTAAAATTTGTATTTTTTGGAAATAACAAAACACTGGTTGAGTTCCTTGAATTATTCCGATGAAATTGTAGATGTAGAAGTGGGAAACGTAAGGAAATACATCAGTGCCAAAATTGCAGAATTAAATCGACCTGCAATTCCAAGTAAGTTTTCATTCCTGAATTATTATAAAGGACCGAATATCAAGTTCAAGTACTTGGCTTGTATTACCAACAAAAGCAAACAAAATTTTAAAAACACATATAAGACTACCTATAATTTGAATCTTCGATTCAAATATTCTAAAAATAGTGTATATATATAAAATAATTGCTTTTGTTAGCAAACATTTATTTCCAAGGTAATCTAAATTTCATATCTTTGTAGAACTAAAAGCAAAGAAAAGCATTAATGAAAATCATGTAGATCATGAAAACGAATCAAATGATTTTCATGAGAATGAAATGTTGAGATTGGATCATCTTCCATCTAGCGACAGTGATTGCGAAGATGAGGCTTCAAAAGAGATGAAAGAGAAGAAAAAATGACAACAATATTGATTCATATACAATGTCTGATTTGACGAACATTAGGATTTGTCGGAGACATTAATGGAAAGCGATAAAAATATATTAAACTAATGTTTCAATACTTATTTAAAAATTAACACTGTTTTAAAAAAATCATAAGGATTCCTTAATAATACTTATTCTCAAAACAAAACTTTCTAAAATATTAAAATTATATATCAATAAGTTTATATTAAATATAAAATTGT